CTTTGCTTCTTCATCCATTTGCAAGTGTTTTCCATTATGTACACACCAGTAGTTCTGGATAAGAGCAGCATCTCCTCATCATTGTTAACAGTACATAAAGAGATTTAAAAAAAAAAAAAAAGGAGAGAGCTTATATCCATGTTCTTCAAAAGCAGTGCACAAGTTTTTTTTCTGCAGCAAGCACTGAGCAGACACAGGCAGCGATGGAAGTGAGGGGGCAAGCGGGGTATTTTGTGCACTGTGCCGTCCAGTCGAGCGTAAAGCGTGATTAATTCAATAGCTCCCATAGAGGAGGAGGCTAGCAGCACTGCAACACTGAGCATGACCCACTTTTCCCATCAGATGTCATGAAAAATTTCCTGCCATCCTTCTGTGTGTTTCTCATTCTCTAACTTTCTACCTGGATAACAAAACAACAAGTCAGGGAAATTACAGAATAAATACATGCTCATTATGTATGAAATGACCAGCAGGCCTGGGATTTCAACCACTAAATCTCGTAAAAATAAAAGTTTTTAGATGCATGTTTGAGGGCTTTTAAATGCAGCTTGGGCCCATTGGGCAAATGACTCACAAGGCTTTGACCTAATTCTATTATGCTATAGGGCGTATGAGTAGAATACTGTCTGGGAGGACAACTACTGTATTCAAAACACATCTCTTATTGCCAACCTTGTTCACCTCTGAGGTCCAATGCTGTTTGTGTGGATCTAAATCCGCAGTGGAGTATTCCAGTCTCAGTGTCATAAGGAAGGAGACTTTTCAGAGATGTTTTTGTATGTAAAGTGAAAGAGAGGAGTGCTTCACTGTTTTTCAAATGTAAAAAAAAATCTACATTTTTAATTAGCTGAAGGCACTGTCTACTAACTTTCTAAACTAAATCGTGAGCTCAAGTCCCTCGAATATGGTGCCATCTATCATCAACATTAGCTTGAATCTTGTCATTAGTCTTGGGGTTTTGTTTTTGTGCCCTCTCCTGCCTCTAGAAAGGACCTGCACCACTCTCTTGGGTCTTAAACAGGGATTAAGGCTTTTTATGTAATCTGGTTCCTCTGGGAGATTGGAGAGACATCTGGCAACAGAATCCCTGTCCTTATGTCTCGAACCTCTGTTGGCACCCAACCAGCAGCTCTGCCTCTGAATGCAACGTAGATTAAAGAAGAAATTCTAACCTGTGTAGGTCTAATGTATAACATATTAACTAACTTTTTTCTTTGTTTGTTTGCTGTGTACTTTGCGCTTTCCCTGTGCATCTCAGGATGTTGTAGTACATCTGAATCTATTAGTTGACTGAGAAATTCATCAACAACTGTGACAAATAATTCTTTCAAAAAGCCATTTATGAATCAAAATCAGGAAGAATTCACATGCATTAAGTGACATAAAGCAATTGAGCATATACTGCATCTCTTCATGTTTGTTTTTGTTGCCCTGTATAGATTCATGGTTAGCTGCTTCTGGAGCTTGTATTTCCACACTTGTCTGCAACAAGCTGCAATGTATCACAAAAAGAAAATTGTAGAAAATTGCTTCTCAGAATTATATGTGGAGGATTACTGTGCTTTCTGTGCCAGGAAATGTCAGATATAAAGCAAAGTGAGTGTGCTTCACTATTCTTCTACTTAAATGAGCCTATAACTATATTCACGTGGTATAGAACAAAATAGGAAATATCTAATAGTATTTCCTTTTAAGTGTCAGCAACAGGAAGGAGGTTAACAATATTTGATAAAATGGCCCGATAAATGTGAATTAATCTATATGGCAGATTCTACCATTTCCATTTTATTTTATTCATATTCCTTTCTCATAATATAAGAAGTTAGGTGCATCATCTGTAATAAATGGTCACACTTAAAGCGCTTTCACACTACTTGGCCATTCACCCACTCGTATTCACACACCGGTGACATCACCGGGAGCAACTAGAGGTTCAGTGTCTTGCTCAAGGACACTTCGACATGTTGACTGGACAAGCTGGGAATCGAACCTCTAAACCTCCGGTTAGGAAATGGCCCGCTCTACCTCCTAAGCCACAGCAACCTCCCCCCCGATAATATTTATTTCAACTTAAAAATCTGTGTCTGCAGTTTCATGCCACAATTGTGTTCATCTACTAATAAAAGAGGATATTTCATTCAAATTTTTTAACAAAATGAAATATTTATTTTGGTGTCATTAACAAAGTCGGACTAACCTGCAATTCTCACAGTATACCCTTTAAATGCTTCCACTGTGTCCTTTGTGTGTGTGTGTGTTTTAATTGCACCAGATTGAAATCCTGCAGCTCTGACAGCAGTAAATAAAGGTCCACCATCATACAGCCAGATTACAGACTGAAGCGCCCTCTCGTGTTCATGCTCAGAACTGAAGTCTTGCTTGAGTCATTACATCACCAGAGCTAGAGGAGATGCATCTGAAATGGGCTTGAAAAAAATAAATATGGTGCTCAACACTGGATGGCTCATCTCATGTCTGATCAGACATATGCTGACCTACATTTTAATGGCTTTTATTGCAAACATTTGTGTACTGCATCAGGCTTTGCAGACAGGGAGACCACACCTTATTTGTAACAAGATGAGTCTTTTATACAGTATCTTTAAAAATATGCTATCTTGAAAGCTAAATTAAAGCAGCATTCTACCATGACCTTTATCATCTTGTGATTTTTGCAGGTATACTACTGATTCCCCTATGGGGGAAAATGAGATGCAGGGCCCTTTTAACCCCTGTTACTCTCTTTTTCTGTGCAGTGTGTTCAGTCTTTACTGAACTACAGCACTGCTGGGCCCCAGGATGACTGCGTGGTAATCTGACTAACAATACTAGTTGATGAACATGTAACATACTGTATAAGCACATAGCTGAAACTATTTAGTTCCTAAAACTAGATTTTAGCACCTTATTTAGGACAGGGCCTCAGTGAAATGAGGCCCACCTTCGAATCAGTCAGCTTAGACAGAATTTAAAAAGTGTGAAAAGTAGTCATGGTTGTCAGTAGTATGGCTGTACCCTGCTTTTTGTTACAACATTTACCATTAGGATAAAATAGTATTTTCTATTTTCATTCATTACATCTTAAAGTCAGTCAGTTGGTCAAGTTAATCTAACTGAAGTGCCTGGGTCTCAGTCCCTGCTTAGTATGTGTCTTTATTTATTTTTTTGCATCCATTAGGTGACCAGTTGATTCCACCATCACATTGACCCTTGAACTCCTCTCTCACAAGACCACACCCCTTATTCCTCCACATCCAATCCTAATATGGAGCCCATCAAGGTCCAGTCAGAAGGTGGACTGAATGTGACGCTCACCATCAGGCTGCTGATGCACGGCAAGGTACAACATCCTACAGAAAGGGTTCTCAACACTGAATTGACTTTCACTTTCTGTAACTTTCTTGTTTTGCACTGGGTTTATATCCAAATGATCAGCAAAAAACAAACAGCTAATTTCCAGGCTCCTTGTGGCACAGATGCAAGACCACTGTTTTTTGTGTTTCTGCAGGAGGTTGGGAGCATCATAGGCAAGGTATTTATCACCCACACAACAAGCATACCACGTAAAGAGCTCTAATGCCTGTGGGAAATAAACAAAAACATCTTAACTCGATTTCTTTTCTTTACTTCTAGAAAGGAGAGACGGTGAAGAAAATGCGTGAAGATGTAAGTAGAACTCTGCAAAACGTCTGCTACTGTTAACACTCCATTAATGTTTTTGTTTCATAATTGTGTATTTGGTTCTTTTTCATTTTAAAGAGTGGCGCCCGTATCAACATCTCAGAGGGGAACTGCCCTGAACGGATAGTCACCATCACCGGGCCAACAGATGCTATTTTCAAGGCCTTTGCCATGATTGCCTACAAGTTCGAGGAGGTAGACTCTGTGGACCTAAGTACAGTACTTGAGTAAATGTACTTAGTTAATTCCACCACTGTTATGTTTTAGCTTCTCTACTGACTCATTTCCAAATGGAAGACAAAGCAGGCGTAGCCTTGTTATGCAGGGCAGTAAAGTGCTGGTCTAACCTTGCAGCACCTTTTGAAAGAGGGCCAGAGGGTATTTACAGCATATTGGATAGTGTGTGTACAGGCCATTAGGGTTGGTGGAAAAATAACATTCATTTCTAGAAGTAGAGAGATGAAACCCAGGGGGAAATTAGAAGTTACCTAACAAAATATGATATAAAGTCAAATTAATCTCAACATGTATGTGATATACACATTAATGCATCAATAAATACAATCCAATAATATGATACATATTATTATGCAAAATTGCCATTTTGCATAATAATAATCATAATAAATGGCAAAATATAAAAAGAATCAGGTCTGTATGTAGCAGAAGTGTAAGAAGTGCACCATCTTTACTTAAAAAAGTAAAGATACTATAAAATATTCCAGTTCAAGTGAAATGCGTTTTAAAAATGTTACTTAACTGAATGTATGGAAATATTATAAGCAAGACATATGCAGGTATCAAAATTAAAAGTGCTAATTATGCAGAGAATGGCCACTCAGTGCTATATTAAGAGCCTGATGCAGGAATGTGTAAGCAGCATTTTAATCTTGAAACAAGTCAAACTGGAGCTGATTTGAACTTATTTATACCATTTGGTAGTTAACCCTAGAAAAAATGTTTATTTCATGAGGTGATTATTTATTTTTAATATAATATATTTGTCTGAAATGTTACTAATAGCTGTAAAAAGTATAATATTTCTCTCTGAAATACAGTGAACTATAAAGTAGCATAAAGTGGAAATACCATACAGTATATACTACAAGTAAAGAAGAATGGGTAGCACAGAACTGTACTAAAGTAAGAGGCAAAAATTCAAACATTGTTTTTATTCAGCCATTTGAAGGTAGTTTTTTGGCTAATACAAATTAAAGATCAGTCAAAACCTCTCTTATGCAGGATACATACAAGCATGAAGATGAATTTCTATAAAGCCATGATTGCAGCACACAGCATTTATCTAATAGCACCTGCTCCTTCCTCCTCTTCAGGATATAATCAACTCCATGAGCAACAGTCCAGCCACCAGTAAACCACCTGTAACCTTGAGGCTCGTTGTTCCGGCCAGCCAGTGTGGCTCCCTCATTGGCAAAGGAGGCTCTAAAATCAAAGAAATGAGAGAGGTAACTGGAGACACTGGCAGCACATGTACTGCATTTGTCTTATTCCACTCTAATGATCTCTATCAATACAAATAAATAGAGATCCTACCAGATTTTGGTAAAAGCTTCACTTACACTCGGGGGTTCACTAGCCAAAACACTGTTGTACTTATATAAAACTGAAAATTATTCATGTGTTTAATTTTATTAAAGACAAAGTTTTCATGTAAGTCCTCTAAATCCCATGTGTATGGTCCATTTAAGCTTCAGGTCCTGCATAATCCTCAATATGAGCAACTCACTCATTAATTTTGCTCCTCTGGTATCAGTGTTGTTTTGAACAGGTTTAGTGTTTTTTCCATTTCATTCTTACCTCCAGTCCACAGGAGCTCAGGTCCAGGTTGCAGGTGACATGCTCCCCAACTCCACTGAGAGGGCAGTGACAATCTCAGGGGCTCCAGAAGCCATCATCCAGTGTGTCAAACAGATATGTGTGGTGATGCTTGAGGTACAGTATGGGAGGGGGAGAAAAACAAAGGAAGATGTTGTTACAGAAATACTTGGCATGGAAGCTGCAGCAGCTGGCTTGCAGTTATGATCCTTAAGATTTAGTTGTTTTTGACCTCTCAAGTGCTACTGCTTCCCCTGGCTCAAACTATCATGACTAGGTTGTAGGTACATGTCAAAATTAGAATAATGCTTTTGATCACACACACACTC